GCCAGAAACGTTGCTTGATTGCTGCTATGAGCTGCCACCAATGCAGGCAACTCAGGTTAACCTTCGCCGATGGAGGCAATTGCACTGGTGGTAATGTAGCGAGAGTGGTGCCAATGAGAAAGTGTCCGGGAGTGATAGCTTCCCCATCGTTAGGGCTGTTGCTATCTACGACCAATGGACGTGAGTTTAGCACCGCTTCGACTTCGACGAGGACAGTCTGGACTTCGCCTTCCTTCAACAGAGCGTTTCCGACTGCTTTGATGAAAAGATGTCTGGCGGACTTCACAGCCCCTTCCCACAAGTCCCCAAAATGAAGTGCCGTGGGGGTATGAAGGCGAAATCGAGAGATCCGCCGAGAGCGCTGTACGTTTCCTTGTTATCTGCGAGATACGCTTTGATCTCCTGAAGCATTCTTGACGAACCCACGAAATTTGTTGCGTTGTCGCAGTACAACGTTTTGAGAGGTCCACGGCGACCAATAAATCTGTTGAGACAAAGTAAAAAGGAGTTAGACGAAAGATCCCTTATGAGTTCAATATGAATGGCTTTTGTCGAGAAGGAGATAAAAACTGCAACGTACATTTTAAGTGGGGTTTTGCCGCGGATTCCTAATGACACTCTAATTGGGCCGAAAAGATCCACTCCGCTTACTCTGAATGGCTAACTGCTTAGAATGCGATCAGCCGGTAGATTGCCCAAGGCTTGTATCGAAAGCAGTGAGTGCATTGACGTACGACAGCATTGCATTCTCGACGGGCGTTGACATAAAAGACGTCGACTATTGCCTGTGACCCTTTCGGATTCGATTTGGCAATATTTCGCTTAACTGTTTTAAGCAACGTATAGCAAGAAACGAAGCGCAAGCGGTGCCATATGTGACTGTGTTGAGTCGATACAGTTGTAATGGCTCTTCTCGGCTGCGGCGCCAGACAATCATTTGAAAATCTCGATGAGTCTCCTCTACCAACACTTGTCGGTACATCTTGGTGATGTCGGCGGTCATGGCGAATGGCCGTAAGCGAAATCACAGCAGGGTTGCATACACACATGGTTGTATCGTTGGACCCACCATAAGGAGGTCGTTTAGTGAGAGCTGCGAAATTGTTTTTGAAGAAGCATCGAAGACGACCCTAAGCTTTGTAGACGAGCTTTGAAGTCTGAGTATTCACTGGTAGGGGATGAAGTAATGGGGTTCGCGGGGAATCACATTATCTGTTACTGACATATGTCCTAATGACAAATACACTCGCATGAAATCTATATACATTCCAAGCATTGTAGGGTTGGCATACATGCGTCGTTTGAGCGCTAAGAATCTTCTGCGGGCTCTTTCGTAAGAGTACCCCAAGCTATTGGGGCTCGATTTGAAGGGAAGCCTTACTATGAATCGGCTAGAAGAATGTTGATGTACTGTATCAGCGAACGCCTGGGATTTTGTAATTTCTCTTTAGAAAATCTCTTTAGAAAGAAGTCAACTGCAGGGGGCTCGTCAAACGACCCTAACATGCACCACGCTGATGATGCTAAGGGTCGCGAAACCGTACAACTTCCGGAAGCTACCCAACCGAATACTGCGTTCTGAAGAGTGGGACCGGAGTCGCTATGTCGAATCTTTCCTGTTGTCAGCTAATCAAAAAACACGTCTGCCCCTATGAGAAGGTCGATGAGCTGAGGCGTGTTAAAAATGGGATCAGCAAGGTGAAGGTCTTCGGGAATCCAATCACAGCACCCACTCTGTGTAGTGCACAGGATGATACGATGAAATGGCTTTCAGCACAATAATTTCAACCACGACCTCAAACGAATTGACCCGAGAGCAAATTGTAGTTTGAACTGCATGGCGAGCTGTGAAATGGAGCTTTCAATAGCTGATAAAGTCGTGTTGTGTTGATACCTCTTCAATTGAAGACCCGTTGACAGTTCTTCGGTTATAATTTAACCTGTGAGCCCTAATCCAAAAGAACCCTCTGTTTTTGACCTGATTGACTCTTTACATCAACCAGAGCCGTGGCCAACAAAACCTGATTGACACCATTTTGTTGATTATGGCACAATGTTGCGTTGCGATCTGTGTAGTTGCTTCCACATTGCCAAATGAAGTTGGTGGTCCCACATTGTACTTATGTAGCAGTGTGTGGTAAGGCTTTGAGCAGACTCGGCAAGATGAGGACAAGCATTGAAGGGCGCCTGTCCCTTACGCAAACAATTTATGCAGAGCGCACAACGTTTTGCAAATTTAAAAAAATTGCACGGATGCGTTTGCGAAGGACGGACAAGCTTGAATATAATGTTTCTTTATTTTACAGAAGTAGCATTTTGAGTTCGCAGCTTCCGTAGACTGTCACACAGTCAGGGAAGTTTTACTAGCCTTTCGATTGTTGCCATCGCGATTGGGCCTAATTTGCTCTACCCTCCCGAAGGTCGATTCATCAGCTGCAAGATGCTGATACCGCTTGTTTAATACGTCAACGCATTCCTGCCACAAGGGAATAGATTGATAGTCCATTTGTTCTTCCCACCTAGAACGCGTTTTTGGGTCTACTTTGGTCATTACAATGTGGATAATCATAGCGTTTGCTATAGTTTTATCGTTACCAAGAGATAATAGAGACTCATAGATTGCCGGCAGACGGCGAGGAAATTGTGGGAATACTGAACAGCCGCGCTACGCTATCAAAAAAGATTAAGCAATGATTATCATAGACTCGACTAAGACTCTCCAATGCCTTTGGGTAATTATCATCCGTTATTTGATATGCCTTGACAGTCTAAGGGCTTCCTTTTCTAGGCACAACAGCAGGTGATTGAACTTTTCTACATTTGTTTATTGGGAATCTGAATCAACTAAGCTTTTAAAGAGTCCCATAATGTTTTTAAAATCCGCATAGTTGCCTTCAAACTTCGGCAACTTCATGTGCATAGTCATTGAGAAGGTCCAATCGACATTCCATCTCACACGGCTCGAAAGGACGCGTCTCCATGCGAGCTGCCTTGTTGATCCCTTCAATGTTTCGCCTAACGCGGTCCAGCTGTTCAAGAAGATCATTTGTATCGGTATGATCTTCTTCGACGGAAGAAGTTTTGCCTATATGCTTTTACCCTTATTTATAGAAGTGGTTGGCAGTTGTACGTACAAGCACTGCAAAGGGATTAGTGAATGAATGGTAATTTGCTTTAAACTCATGCACTGCTACTTCCGACGATACATATGTGTGTACACCCAAATAGAAACGAAATCAATTAAGCTTGATGCACTCAGCAGTGGATATAAAGAGCAGCGATAAAATTTCGGCCCAAAAGAGATCAATAAGAACACGCGGTTCCCAACGAAAATAAGGAAGCCGAGGTATGCAAATTGTAGTATATCCGCGCAGATATAGATTGTGTCCTTGTATTAGTTTTCGCTTCACCTATTTAGGTGTTTGTGTGCGCTTGCAGCACAGCTAACTTCTGCCGGCGAATATCGCGACAAAGCAACGAACGAAAAGCCGGCGAATCTAATGAGAGTTTGTGCCCAAACGGCAGCTATGTATAATGCAGCTTCCACTTTAGTAAAGTTGCGGCTTTACAGCCGGCTGAGATCCGATGAGCGATGATTCCGACATACACACGGTGGCACTTGAAGAGTTGACGATATTTTTGAGTGCGCAGTCCACGCAGATGTGTTCACTGGGGGCGCCATAATGTTTGCCTACAGCAAATGAGTAATTAAAGCAACTTGCAGACACCGACAGAATTTAGCGTTTTTAAAATTAGACACACGATGTTCTCCTTTGCGTAGTTTTATTCCAAGTGCCGTCTGAGCCAATTCGTCGTAATGACGAAAAGCTAACAGCGATCAGGGTTGCTTCTAGTGCAACTTAACATAGTAGATTTACAGGGTTGGTTAACATGATCATAAATTCAAAAAAAGTTGTTACATGCCGAGCCGTGTTTTGATTAGCGATTTCAGCAGACTGAGCCCCGCCTCACATCTATCAGTGGCTTAACATGTTCAAACTGTACAAACTTTCTAACTAATATGTAAAATAATATAAATAGTTTAACTATACAATGCCTAAACGCAAACTGGATTTTGCCTTACCAATTTGCCAACGTACTATTTTCAGGACCAGCTCTACAATTTTACTGAAGTTTTTAGAGAACTTCAAGTGAACCGAATTGGTTTCACATGCGTAGAAGTCTCCGTAAACGGTATAGAGAACAGCGCACTGACGAAGAGAGTAAAGACTCTCTTCGACATAGGAAGCGGAAAAGCGGAGAAAATTTTATGATTTTATAGATGCTATCCTAACGATTGCATATGCTTTGCGTGAGCCTATAACCGAGAGTGAAGAGAAACTTAAACCTGAATTACAACTAGAATTATTACATGTTTTGACCCCATACATTGCCTCCTTAAGATTAGAGTACCACAAGCACGAACGATTTCTTAATAGCATGGCAGGTATATCGGCGGACCGACCTCCTCCAAACAGGCGATTTGTAAATAAGCTAGTGCAGGATGAAAAGTCTAGGGAAAAAGAGAATTATCAAAACCTGAGCATTCCAAGCCTCGATCTTTTCAGATAGGAAATGAAACTTCGCCCTTAGCAATGCAGCCGCCCACTTTAATGCTAAGCTTGCGCCGGTTGGAATATAGGTCCGAGTCAAGCAAAGGTTGGGAGACTCTCTCTATTTTCTTGAGGATTTAAATTTGAAGGAATTAGGAACATATCATGCAAAGGATATTTGGTAACAGTAGACACCCTTTTTCAGGTTTTGTCATTGGAGTAGTCGAGCATAACTACTTCATTAAGAATCATTAAGAACAAATGTTTTCTATTTTTAATAGAATTAAAGTAAGAATAGACACAGTATTATCTGAAACTGGCAAGTTCGATGGAAAATTAAAGGCAAAAGAGCAGATGGAAAAAATTTAAACTGCGAAAGCCAGCAGAAAGAGTTAACCGTAGTGTCTTGGCAGCAATTCGCAGCTTATTGTACGGAGATCACCGTGAATGCCCGAGATTGAGGTAGCCATCCGGAACCCTGTCCACTCAGCTACAGGAGAAGCGCCGTTCTTCACCGTATTCGGCCATTATATGTTCCTCAACGGTTCCAGCTACAAGCTAGCCAGACAACTCAGGTCTCTGTGCGACCACGAGATGGCGGGAATGCAGACCAAGGACAAGTTTCGGGTAATCCATGACAAGGTTCAGAAGCAACTACAGGGTGCATACGAGATGAGCCGGCAACGCTACGATAAGCAAGCCCGTACGCTACTCGCCAACCCGGGTCAAGAAGTCTTCCGCCGCAAGTTCGTGCAGAGTGACTTCAGCAAATCTTTCAATGCGAAGTTCGCTCGCAAGTTCCTGAAGGCCAGGGTCGTCAAATCCGTCGGCAACAATGCATACTTGCTGGAGGACCTCCAAGGGCGCAGTCTCGGAGTGTATCACGCTAAGGACATCCGCCTTTGATCTGAAAGAAGGACACACAAAGTATACAAGCATACGACAAAATCAGGAATACTTCCCGTCATGTGTGGGCCCCGCGTTAGTCGCCGTTCGAACTGCAGGATGATATCAGTGCCGTGTTGATTCCTACCGTATCTCCAAAGCTACCAATTATTTCGTCGTTCTGCTGAGACTCCGGTTAGCGCCTCTCGAAATCTTTGGTTGGTGTTGCAGTTGGAGTCGATAATGGGATGGACTCTATCGATAGGTTAGGATGATAGAGCGATGGTTTCGGTGGCGCCCCCTTTGGGGAATCTGGCGGACGATCTGGCGATGACCCAGTTTCGAGAGAGGCAAGGGAATATGGCGATATAGCAATGATAGGGCAGAGAGAGATTTACCTTGGAGATTGGCGTATACATATATACCCACCTTCGTTCGACGCAGCTACGAGATCTGGACAAGCACCACCCGCCTTCCTCGGACGCAGCCAACGCCATCCAACATTCCCCGATGAGTCCGTTCCGGGCTATTAAAACCCACTCGCTTTGGGTTCGTAAGGTTCTCGCCTTCGCTACCGTTCCTCGTGGTGTTCCAGGCCCTTATTGCTGCTGGACTACGGCAGGGTACTCTTCGGCCGGGGCATATCTTGCCCGGTGCCTAGCCCAGAAGTGGCTAAAAATCATTAATGTTAATTAAATGTGCACATTACTTAATTTATACTTACCGTGTTGACCTGTGAATTTATCCGGACTTAGACCCAAAAACCTCAGTTGTCGTCGTTGTTGCCTGTAAAGAAGGGTCGCGTTTATTAGTTTTCGGCGGGATCGTTTACAGCGCATATTACCTACCGTTTGGCCTGTCCCTTCTCTTCCCCAGGAGTTCCTCAGGATTAGGTGACCCGACAAATGCGAGTTCCACCAATACGTGTCTGGTGGAACATTATTTCCGCGGCGCCTGTAGTCTTTTCCAAGGGAAGGTCATCCTCAGCCTTGACCGCGTAAATTCGAAGACGGCGGCCAAGTTTGGCCTTAAAGGCTGAAGAAGGATAAATTAGTTAATAGGAGAGCCATTATAGCAATGTTTAGCATAGGTACTTACTGTGGACATTAAATGTATGTAAAAACTGAAATGTGCGAGTGAGTTGTCGATGTGGGGGAGATGGAGCTGTCTTAGTCGCGAGGAGTGACTTGGACCGAAGGGAAATATGGGTGATGCCACTGCAAAAACCTCCGGGGCATCCTTGGTTGGGTGCGCGCTTGGCTGGGTCAACAATAGCCACCAAAATATTTTCCCGCCAATTATAATTATTTACGTTGTTTACATTTTGTTTGTTTTGTTTGTTAGTGATGAGCGATTATTTTGTGATGTGAGACAGTGTAGTCATCGACGTTTATGTTGCGGGCTGTGGCATTAGGGGGAATTAGATTTGCATAGTTTCATGTAACTAGCTTTTATACTGCAAAAGTAGCGGTAGAGCAGTTGGAGAAATATTTAAAGGATACTTTTGAGGATATTAAAAATAATAAAGTAAACGAGGACGGAAGCTAACTTCGGCAAGCCGAAGTTTTAATACCCTTGCAGACTTTGCCGAAATTGCTAAAAATGAAAAAGTAGAGAAAAGAATAAGTTATAAATCAGATTTGCGTAGTTTATAAAAATAGAAAAAAGGCATACTTTCGCAGCCTTTAACAATTTTTCCTACGGAAGCTATTAGATATAGACGTTCGATTGCCATGCGAGGTATGCGTAAATAAATAAGTCTTTGAAAAATTGATGTCAATAGCTTATATACTGTGCGAAATATCCTGAAAATCATAAAATTTTAACCGATTTCACCCTTTTGTTCCTATGGGAGCTATAGGATAAAGACGACCGATCGGCACGCGCTTTTACCCTGATCAAGGTATGCATAAAAAAATACGATTTGGAAAGATTCATGTCAATAGCTTTTACACTGGGCGAAATGTCATCAATTCTTGCAAGATATATCAGATTGTTCCTAAGGGAGCTATAGGATATAGACGTCCGATTGGGGCGATTTTCAAACCTGATTTGCGTACACATGTTTTAGGACGACTGTGAAAGTTTCAGATCGCTAGCTTTTATACCGAGCTCGCAAACGGTATTGAAACAGACGGACATGGCTACATCGACTCCCCCATTGATCCTGATCAAGAATATATATACTGTAACGACCCTGCGAGCTTCGGCGCTGCGGATGGGCCGAGAGGTTGCGTCGGCGCTGTGGATGGGCCGAGAAGTCGCTTCGGCGCTGCAGGAGGGCCGAAAAGTCGCGTCGGCGCTGCGGACGGGCCGAGAAGTGGACTGCTTCGTCGGGTTCGTAGTGTTCTGGGTCGTTGGGAGAGATCTACTTTTATTTCTAGTGGGATTCGGGAATGTAGGGCATCGTTAGTTTCGGTCTGCCGGGCATCGTTACGTTCGAACTGCCGTTCTACATCCGTTTCCATTTTAAAGAAAACCGATTTCTTACGGATCCAACACCAATACCAAGACTATCTACCAGAACACTTACCCGGATATTTTTCCTTGTTGCTGATGTTTCCTCGATGATCGTCGGAACGCAAGTCCCTCATCTGGGGTCTTGTCTCTGCTTATATAGGCCCCGTTGAGTGTGCCCAGAGCGGTCGATGTTCATCGTTTCAGATGAGGACAAGCATTGAAGGGCGCCTGTCCCTTACGCAAACAATTTATGCAGAGCGTACAACGTTTTGCAAATTTAAAAAAATTGCACGGAAGCGTTTGCGTAGGACGGACAAGCTTGAATATAATGTTTCTTTACTTTACAGAAGTAGCATTTTGAGTTCGCAGCTTCCGTAGACTGTCACACAGTCAGGGAAGTTTTACTAGCCTTTCGATTGTTGCCATCGCGATTGGGCCTAATTTGCTCTACCCTCCCGAAGGTCGATTCATCAGCTGCAAGATGCTGATACCGCTTGTTTAATACGTCAACGCATTCCTGCCACAAGGGAATAGATTGATAGTCCATTTGTTCTTCCCACCTAGAACGCGTTTTTGGGTCTACTTTGGTCATTACAATGTGGATAATCATAGCGTTTGCTATAGTTTTATCGTTACCAAGAGATAATAGAGACTCATAGATTGCCGGCAGACGGCGAGGAAATTGTGGGAATACTGAACAGCCGCACTACGCTATCAAAAAAGATTAAGCAATGATTATCATAGACTCGACTAAGACTCTCCAATGCCTTTGGGTAATTATCATCCGTTATTTGATATGCCTTGACAGTCTAAGGGCTTCCTTTTCTAGGCACAACAGCAGGTGATTGAACTTTTCTACATTTGTTTATTGGGAATCTGAATCAACTAAGCTTTTAAAGAGTCCCATAATGTTTTTAAAATCCGCATAGTTGCCTTCAAACTTCGGCAACTTCATGTGCGGGAGATACCTACTGTGCGATATGGACGTATTTAGTCCCAAGTTGTAAGACGATCTCGAGTGTTCCCTATATGGGTCTGACCTAGTGCAAACTGACATATGGAACGAACTAGCTGAAATGCATAATTCTTCCAGGTCCGCACGACTTGCTTTGTCCAAGCTGATTTTCTCGATTTCCTGCTGATGGGTAAATGCCTTTTTTATATAGTCATTGAGAAGGTCCAATCGACATTCCATCTCACACGGCTCGAAAGGACGCGTCTCCATGCGAGCTGCCTTGTTGATCCCTTCAATGTTTCGCCTAACGCGGTCCAGCTGTTCAAGAAGATCATTTGTATCGGTATGATCTTCTTCGACGGAAGAAGTTTTGCCTATATGCTTTTACCCTTATTTATAGAAGTGGTTGGCAGTTGTACGTACAAGCACTGCAAAGGGATTAGTGAATGAATGGTAATTTGCTTTAAACTCATGCACTGCTACTTCCGACGATACATATGTGTGTAGACCCAAATAGAAATGAAATCAATTAAGCTTGATGCACTAAGCAGTGGATATAAAGAGCAGCGATAAAATTTTGGCCCAAAAGAGATCAATAAGAACACGCGGTTCCCAACGAAAATAAGGAAGCCGAGGAATGCAATTTGTAGTACAGCAAATCCGCGCAGATATAGCTTGTGTCGTTGTATAAGTTTTTGCTTCACCTATTTAGGTGCCGGCGAATATCGCGACAAAGCAACGAATGAAAAGCCGGCGAATCTAATGAGAGTTTGTGCCCAAACGGCAGCTATGTATAATGCAGCTTCCACTTTAGTAAAGTTGCGGCTTTACAGCCGGCTGAGATCCGATGAGCGATGATTCCGACATACACACGGTGGCACTTGAAGAGTTGACGATATTTTTGAGTGCGCAGTCCACGCAGATGTGTTCACTGGGGGGCGCCATAATGTTTGCCTACAGCAAATGAGTAATTAAAGCAACTTGCAGACACCGACAGAATTTAGCATTTGAATAAATTAGACACACGATGTTCTCCTTTGTGTAGTTTTATTCCAAGTGCCGTCTGACCCAATTCGCCGTGATGGCGAGAAAGCTAAAAGCGATCAAGGTTGCTTCTAGTGCAACTTAACATAGTAGATTTACAGGGTTGGTTAACATGATCATAAATTCAAAAAAAGTTGTTACATGCCGAGCCGTGTTTTGATTAGCGATTTCAGCAGACTGAGCCCCGCCTCACATCTATCAGTGGCTTAACATGTTCAAACTGTACAAACTTTCTAACTAATATGTAAAATAATATAAGCAGATGAAATGACTATACACCTGTTGAAGATTTTATCTATAGGATAAATAGTTTAACTATACAATGCCTAAACGCAAACTGGATTTTGCCGTACCAATTTGCCAACGTACTATTTTCAGGACCAGCTCTACAATTTTACTGAAGTTTTTAGAGAACTTCAAGTGAACCGAATTGGTTTCACATGTGTAGAAGTCTCCGTAAACGGTATAGAGAACAGCGCACTGACGAAGAGAGTAAAGACTCTCTTCGACATAGGAAGCGGAAAAGCGGAGAAAATTTTATGATTTTATAGATGCTATCCTA